TTCCTGTGTAACTTTTGTGTTATCAAGCTGTACAGGTTTATTGAAGGGTGGCTCAGTATTGACTGAGGTACAAGCAAGCGTGTCTGGGTAATTTGTGTTGCAGCAGCTCTCGGGTACATACTTAAGAATAACGTTACCTACTGTAAAAATATAAGGTTAGTTAGTTAATTAGTGAAGGATTGTGGGTTCAGAATTATTTACCACACAATAAATGGGCATTTGTTGAAACTCGCTGAAGCCGTATCAATAAAACCGAACACAGGACACTGCTGTATTATGTAAGCAAAAAGAGCACGTGATAAATTTGAAGTTACCGTGGTAATCACACGGCTAATTTTGAAATTCCGATGGAGAGAAGCATTGCCCAACTTGAAAATGCGAGTTATATATTTCAGCGAAAAGGGTTCATTTTGGTGCTTCACTGTATGTTGATTTAACCCTACAGTAATGCACCTAACGAGATACAGCGAAATATGCCATACAATAAACTGTGTAATTCATTGTTTGTGTTTACATTTTTTAATCAGTTAAAGGCAATTCCAAATTCACAACAAATTCACGGATCTATACTTAAGTATAATGGACGTGTCTTGACAGAAACAGACTGTCGAAGACCATCCACATTCATTGGTCATGTCACGAGAAGAAGAAAACTGGGTTCTTTATTGATATCCTACATCAGATGACGCCACAGGACAGTCCAATATTTTAGAGGTCGGTAAGACTGGGTTTCCCGGCTTTCCTATGCTTTTAACGACCCTAAAAGATCCAGAACTGACACTAACCCCAACCCACCCGACTGCAAACAGCCTAGGTCCCACGACTATATAAAATATTAGACTGTCCTGTGACCTGTGGATTTTCCCTATTTGGGGTAGGATATTAATAAAGCACCGAAAACTGGAGTGTATAGTGACGGTAGGAAGAGATGCAGAGCATGACTGAGAGAAAAGATGCTGGACAAGGAAGATCATCTTTATCAGAATTGATTGAAAATACACAAGGCAGAAGTTTGTTGATTAAAAAAGAAAAAAAAAAGACAACATGACTACCAACGCCAGAATAACTAACAAAGATTGCCTGAAAATAGCTAATGAAAGTAGAACATCATATACAGCAACGAGGAGACAGAGTTCTTTGGTCATGTGATGAGAAAAGGAGTACTGAAGAATATCGTGGCGAGTGAGATCACTGATAAAAGAGACACAGGCAGACCAAGAGAAACGATGGTGGATAGCTTGAGACAGCAACATAGAGGAATATTATCAATGGAATTGATCCAGAGCAACATCTGTGGAGATGCACGAAAACCTACACCATCTGGCGAGCAGGGCTGCAGCTGGTCAAAACCCAAGCATACATAAGCAAAGAACAAACAACAAAGAAAACCCAGACTGTTAAAAAGTACAAATTTTATAGTTACAAAACGAAACAATCACCAACTTTTATATAAGGATATATATATATTTAAAAAAAAACTTCCAGATTTTAAAATTTGAGCCCAAGACTTTAAATAAAAATCCAGATCGGGGGAAAAAGAGGGGGAGGGGGTGAAATCCCATCATTGGCAGCCCTGCTGGCGAGGCATTTGATGATGATGACGATTATGACCAACGCCACACGGCCTGGACTATAACAAGAACAACTCTGAAGTTCAAATTTTATCCGTGGCTAAGGCGTTGCGAGTCCAAATCGTAAGCCAGCATGCCGCGATCGAAACCCACTACAGGCTGCGTGGATTTTTGTCGTGGTATGGGACGTCGCAGGTCGACCCAGCCTAAAATGGGTACCAGGATGGGCTGTCCTGGGAAAGTAATGACAGCCGGCGTAATGCTGACCACATTACCCACAGAGTGCTGATGGTCTGTAAAAATATGGGACGCTCTGCCCATAAGCCCGATGCGCCGAAAGGCGTGAAAAGGGAACTTTACTTTACTTACTATTACTTTATAGGTGCTTCGTCCTTTTTAGGAAAAAAAAAATTCATTTCAACCTGCACAATCTGTGGCGACAGCACTAGCCATGCAGCCCTAAAGCATGAGGCTCTGAGACCCCCACTGCCTCCACCGCTAAAGTGGTAAATACAAGCAGTAACGGCAGTTTTATGACAGTTTATACATCATAATGTTTGAAATATATTTTTTTATATTTAGCCTAAAATAATATTAATTATTAGGCATTTAAACATGGCGTAGGTCCCTTGAGCCCCTCATCCCAAGAAAATTGAAATGGTTTTAAGGTCTCTTCTTTTTTTTTTTTTTTGATGTCGGCGCCCCAGTCCAAACATTATGTTATGGGCGGAAAAGGTGGGAAGGTTTAGTGTGGGGGGCGGGGGAATTGGGGGTGGGGGAGGCGTGGTGGGGAGAGAAAGAAAGTATATCTTACTTTGTTTTTGTTCCTCAAACCATTTACTTTTTTGCCACAGGAACCAAGATCCGGAACTGTTAGGTAGTCTCCCCTTAACACCACAGCAGTGCAGCTGAAATCAAAATATACAAGTCAGCCCTGTAAATTCGAAATAAGGAATTCCATATGACAAACTCAGAATGAATAATTCATAATAATTAGTTCAGACTGATTATTTAAAACTGATTTCTACAAGAAGATTAAAAAAGAGAGGGGGGGGGGGGGAGGGTGAATATTTGGTGATTTTTATGATAACTCCAAAAGGACATGTTTTCAGGAGCTATATTTACAGAGATAGCGGTTTAACGCTGGGCCTATATCCCATCCTCAGTAAAGTGAGGTTTCTTTTGCTGTGTGTGTGGAGGTTAGTTAAAAAAGGAGAGTGGGGGGGGGGGGCGGGACATTCTAACAGCTGTGGTGACGGCACTGGTCATGCCCCCACGCACCTTACCGAACTAACTGGCGCCAAAACATTATAAAAATGGTCGATAGTTAGAATAGCCTTGTTTAGATAATGAAAAAAAAAAAAAAAAAAACTCAAGGGTTTGATAGATTAGTGCATACGGTTGATAAATTACCTCACAAGATTGATAGATAAACACACAAGGTTGATATATAAACACACCTGGTTGATAGATAAACACACAAGGTTGATAGATAAACACACAAGGTTGATATATAAACACACCTGGTTGATAGATAAACACACCTGGTTGATAGATAAACACACAATGTTGATAGATAAAACACACGGTTGATAGATAAACACACAAGGTTGATAGATAAACACACCTGGTTGATAGATAAACACACAAGGTTGATAGATAAAACACACGGTTGATAGATAAACACACAAGGTTGATAGATAAACACACAAGGTTGATAGATAAACACACAAGGTTGATAGATAAACACACAAGGTTGATAGATAAACACACAAGGTTGATAGATAAACACACAAGGTTGATAGATAAACACACAAGGTTGATAGATAAACACACAAGGTTGATAGATAAAACACACGGTTGATAGATAACCACACAATGTTGATAGATTACCACACTCGGTTGATAGATAACCACGCAAGGTTCGTAGATTAGGTCACAATGTTGATAGATTACCACACTCGGTTGATAGATAACCACGCAAGGTTCGTAGATTAGGTCACAATGTTGGTAGATTATCACACAAGGTATGAGGAGGCATGGGACTCACAGCCCATGGCGATGGCGAGTGTGACTAACAAGACCCGTTCACGTTAAGGAAAGTCTTCAACAATTATAGCATGGAATTTCATAATCATTGCACAACTTTTTGGGGAACCAAATACACAACTTTTAGAGGAACCAAATACACAACTTTTAGGGGAACCAAATACACAACTTGTAGGGAAACCAAATACACAACTTTTAGGAGAACCAAATACACAACTTTTAGGGAAATCAAATACACAACTTTTGGGGGAACCAAATATACAACTTTTTGGGAAACTAAATACACAACCTTTGGGGAAACAAATACCATAGCGTATATTCTGAATTTTTTTTAAAAGTTCTGATTAAACGTAAGATGTAAAAATGTATATAATACGTTCGTTGGTATACATCAGTGCTGTCAAAACTGTGTTTCAGGACACATTAGTGTATCAACATATAATGTTATGGTGTGTCCCACGAACTTAAAGCATTACATATATTTCACATTTTTTTTTCTTCAGTTTAAGACTTTTGGCCGAAACGTTCGCTTGTTAATGTGTGCGTCTTTTTTATTGCCTGCGTTGAACTTTCTAGTCAAATTTGGGTTGTATTTACTGTTTGTATCATCATATGAAAAGTTTGGAAAAAAGCTCTCTTATACGTGGCTGATCTTTTTTAACAGTCTATGCCACATGGCATTAGTAGTCATATCTATCTACAACCTTCTGTCTCGTGTCCTTTTAATCGGTTCTGACACAGATGATCTTCCATGTCATAATGTCAAACTGTCCAGCATCTTTTCTATAGGTCTTCTTCTGCACGCTTCCTCCTCCTACTCTCCGACCGTCACTATGTACATCAGTGTCCTCCTTCATCATCATCATCATCATCATCATCATCATCATCATCATCATCATCATCAGTTTTTTTAGGAAAAAACTCGTCACGTTCAACTAGCATGCACTAAGGAGGAGCTATAGTTAATTACTTTGACTAGGCTTAGCATTGCACACCACCTAGAGCCATAGAAAAGGACTCCTGTCGCGTTGACGCGATCAAAGGAGACACACCCAAAAACTGTCCCGACAGGCGACGACATCGTCTACCGACGAGCCAATGAGTGACCCGGTTGCCTATAGTTCTCTCCTTCTCATTAACGCGATGCACATCCAGCCACAAATGATGTCCCCCTTGATAAAGAAAGAGTTAATGACAACATCCAGCAAACGTAAACACTTACGTTCTTCTGCAAGTCATCCCAAAGATTGGTGATGTCTCTGTTTTCTTTAGAGCTGTTGAGATTAACTCCGTACTGGTACAAAACTGTGTCGGTCATTCGGGAGGTGATGTCTTCCTCCAACTAGGGAAAGCAAACGACAAACATTTAAAACATGCAGTGGTTAACATCTGTAAGACATATGTCATCAACATCATTAAGCAGGCGTGTGCATAATAATAAATTATGGCCGGGGGGGGGGGGGGGGGGGGGGGGGGGGGGGGGGGGGTTAAGCCCCGGGCTCTTGAAAGGGGTTGAACCTGGTAGCATTCTCCAGTAACATACATCAGTTTCTATGCTGAAGCCTTTAGGTTCATGACATAAGGGGGTTCGAGAATCTTCTCAAATCTTCTCACGTTGACATGTTCTGGTTTCTTTCTTCTCATGGCTAAAACAATTACGACTGTTTTTCTGGTGTTTGTAACAAGTCCTCTTCATGTTTTCGCCTCTTTAAAGCATCTGAATTACTCATTTTGGCTGTCCAAGGAATTTTAAACATTCTTCTACGTTCCTCAAGAACATTGTCATTTTGTTTGCTGATTGTCTATGATTCACAGCCATGAGCAGGTATATATACAGTGGTAATAGAAAAGACCGGTATAATTGCAGAGACAGTTTTAGATTAACACGAGAAGAATATGGTAATGAAATACAAGAGGACCACAGAAGGGGGAATGTGGTTGTAGAGGAGGAGGGGGAGCAATAATAATAGGATAAAGACGGAGAAGAAGAAGAAGAAGAAAAAGAAGAAGAAGAAGAAGAAGAAGAAGAAGAAGAAGAAGAAGAAGAAGAAGAAGAAGAAGAAGAAGAAGAAGAAGAAGAAGAAGAAGAAGAAGGAGAAGAAGAAGAAGGAGAAGAAGAAGAGGAAAAAGAAAAAGAAGAGGGAGGAAGAAGAAGGATTCAATGAAAAGAAATGTAAACTCACCTCATCCCTGTAGACAAAAGCGACAACCACCGCTACCACAAAGAGAATCAACAGCAGCAACACAATGGTGAAATACTGAAATTAAGCAAGTTATCTTTACAAGTCAGGATAGAAAAAATTATCAACATTCAAAAATACTCTAAGGAGAATCGGAAGCCAAAAGGCAATAACGAAATGGGGGACATGAAGCAATCCTGAATTAGATTTGAGGCATAATTAAACTGTGTCTTCACCGTGTGGGCTCCGGGGCCTGTTATAGGGAAAACAAGAATAGACCCACTACCTACCCAAAAGCATGCCGTAAGAGTCGACTAATTAGGAGTTTCCTTTAAAGTCGGAGTGCATCTGCCTGAGAGGCAAGGAACCAACAGTCGACATACAAATAAGTTAGATCTGTAAAACGGATGCACACGCAATACCCAGGTTCTGGAACAGGAATGCAGTCCAGAAGTTGATGAACAACCAGAACTTTCCGCCAAAATATGCAGCTGGTGAACGCGAAGAAGAAGAAACTGTGTCTATCCACATATCGAAAGTATATGGACTCAGTTACTGTCTGTCTAGCCTTGAGTGGGTACCAGGTGCAGTCCTGGAATGTAAAGGCGGCCGGCGCGATAATTACCACATCACCCACCAAGTTTTTATTTTTAAATGTTTATCTATTGTCTGTCTGTGCTAAATGCCGTTGAGCGTTTCACGTACCGCTTTCATCAGTTTCCGGGATATTACGCGTTCATTAGCTTGCTGCACGGTGATACTGTTGAGTTTCAGCAAGTTATTAACTCCATCTATCCATCGTCTGGGCCCTCCTCTTCTCCTTTGTTCACCGGCTGTAAACTCAAGCATAAAGTCCTGGTTGTTTGTTCATTTGGACTTTGGTTTTGTTCTAGGCTCCAAGCTTTACGCGTACATCCGTTTTACCGGCTTATTTGTGTGCAGTTGGTTGTTGGGCAGATACACTCCGAGTTTGAAAGAAGACCCCAGCTAGTCGACTCCTACACTAAACCTGTTGGGGAGGCAGTGGGTCTATTCTTGTTTTCCCCAACAACATGGATCCGGAACCCACACGGGGATGGCCTTCCTTTGCCTCTTGATGTTTCCAAATATCGTGATTGGTGGTCATCGAAATTTGAAGAAAAAAAAAATTATATAAGAATTGAAAGCTTTTGTGGCCAGAGTGGAATTCAAATTTACCGTCGCCAAATGACAACGCCCAATTGAAGGTAATGGTATTTTTGCCCAAGGCTAACAAAAAAAAAAAAAAAAAGGCGGGGGTTGTCTTCATTAGCAAGGTCTGTCATCCATTTGACCCCAAAGCTATGGAACATGGACTTCCTTCATATGTAGCCACTGAAATAGAACGATGGGTTTAAGATATTTACCGTAATTTAACCACATGTGATTCATAAAACAAACACACGAAATTATCAGACCGTAATGCTGGGTACACCATATTAACGAAAAATTGAAGAAAGTACAGGTACCCGCTTTTGAATAATACGTTTTTCTGTAGTTTCTTCTTTAACCTTGAAATTATTCCTGCTCCACCATATAAAAACATTCTTTAAACTTCACTTGTACTAAGGAACAAATTAACAATTAGGCACACCAAGCACGTGATTAGGGCATCAAAAAGAGAGAGGGAACCACATAAATTTGCAAAAGCCCTTGAGCTTAGCGTTTATTTTCTTGGTTGAAGTATATTTAAAAAAAAAAATATACAATCCAGGCAGGCTTGATTCCTTAACTCTATTAACTGATTCTGTTATATAAGATTTGTCGGCGCTATGATCAAAGACTTTGTGCAATTTAAAAGAAAAAAAAGGTAACAGAAACTTTTCAAATATAAAAAATGTATACGTATACAAAAACAGACATAATTTTCCATTCTTTCTGTAAGTGTTGTTGAATTTCGATAAACACAATTTTATTTTATGGTTTACAATTGTTTTTTTTTTTAATAATTACATATATATGGGGGGGGGGGGGGGCATAGGTGCCGTCCTAACACATGGACCCGATAGGCACTTGCCCAGGGGCCGCATTGGTATAGCGGCCCCTTGCTAATCCGTGTATGTCAAGTGATTCTTTACATTTCATTCCTGATAATGGTTGTCGTTGGTCCCCCAGCTCACGGGTTTGCACAGGGGCCTATAAGGCTGTTAAATTAGCCAGGGGAAAGGGGGGGGGCATCAAAATCTCTTAAGTGCTGTTGGTGAGAACACTAAAATTTTTTAAGTGCTGTTGGTGAGAACACTAAAATATTTTAAGTGCTGTTGGTGAGAACACTAAAATATTTTAAGTGCTGTTGGTGAGAACACTAAAATATTTTAAGTGCTGTTGGTGAGAACACTAAAATATTTTAAGTGCTGTTGGTGAGAACACTAAAATATTTTAAGTGCTGTTGGTGAGAACACTAAAATATTTTAAGTGCTGTTGGTGAGAACACTAAAATATTTTAAGTGCTGTTGGTGAGAACACTAAAATATTTTAAGTGCTGTTGGTGAGAACACTAAAATATTTTAAGTGCTGTTGGTGAGAACACTAAAATATTTTAAGTGCTGTTGGTGAGAACACTAAAATATTTTAAGTGCTGTTGGTGAGAACACTAAAATATTTTAAGTGCTGTTGGTGAGAACACTAAAATATTTTAAGTGCTGTTGGTGAGAACACTAAAATATTTTTTCTTCTTCTTCTTACGCTCACTGACTGCAAATTCCAGGGGAAAGTTCTGGCTGTTCGTCCACTTCTGGAATCCAGTCTTTTCCCAGTACTTTAGTTTTATGTGCAAGTCCGCTTTTACAGATCTGGCTTATCTGCGGCCAGACTGTTGGTTCCTCGGCTCCCCGACTTCAAAGGAAATGGCCCTAATTTGGTCCCAATTTTAAGTCATTCTTGTTTGGGGGCAGTGGCTTTTATAAGTAAGAAAATTATCTACCTGTTCCAGTATATTGTCATTACTATTGTAAATTGCAAAACTAGCTTGGTACACTTTTTCTTCTTCTCCTTCTTCTTCTATTTCTTCCTCTTCTTCTTTTCCCTCTTCCTCCTCCTCCTCTTCTTCTTTTCTTCTTCTTCTTCTTCTTCTTCTTCTTCTTCTTCTTCTTCTTCTTCTTCTTCTTCTTCTTCTTCTTCTTCTTCTTCTTCTTCTTCTTCTTCTTCTTCTTCTTCTTCTTCTTCTTCTTCTTCTTCTTCTTCTTCTTCTTCTTCATCTTCCTCTTCAGCATTCTGAGCCCTTGAGGTTCATTGCCCGGGCAAAACTTGGAGTAAAAAATATACACAAAATATATCAGGATCTTCGCCGGTGCTACGGAGTCCAGGCACTGCAAAGAGCTACGTCGGACTCCGACTTGAGTAGAACAGAGCACTTATGGGTTACTACCCTTGTGTCATGATTGATCCGTTGTTAAAACCTTAAACGTCAACCTCTTCTCAAAAAGAGAAAAGATGAAGATGAAGGCCAATTCCCCCCCCCCCCCCCCCCCCCCCCCCCCCCCCCCCCCCCCCCCCCCCCCCCCCCCCCTGATGTTTTTGGTAGGCTGCCCTTGTGCCTTACCTTTTGAAAATATCTAAATTATTCAGATTGAATGTCCAGGTAATTGTAAGATTTCTTCTGTACAAAGATGAATAATAATAATAATAATAATTATTATAAAAGTAAGAAGAAAAAGAAGAAGAAGAAGGAGGAGGAGGAGAAGAAGAAGAAGAAGAAGAAGAAGAAGAAAAAGAAGAAGAAGAAGAAGAAGAAGAAGAGAAGAAGAAGAAGAAGAAGAAGAAGAAGAAGAAGAAGAAGAAGAAGAAGAAGAAGAAGAAGAAGAAGAAGAAGAAGAAGAAGAAGAAGAAGAAGAAGAAGAAGAAGAAGAAGAAGAAGAAGAAAAAGAAGAAGAAAAAGAAGAAGAAAAAGAAGAAGAAAAAGAAGAAGAAAAAGAAGAAGAAGAAGCAGAAGAAACAGAAGAAGAAGAAGAAGAAGAAGAAGAAGAAGAAGAAGAAGAAGAAGAAAAAAAAGAAGAAGAAGAAGAAGTAGAAGAAGAAGAAGAAGAAGAAGGAGAAGAAGTACAACAATTTTATTATTGAAAGACAAATGAGAAGTAGTTGCATTAGTATTAGTCGTAGTAGAGCAGCAGCAGGATCAGTAGCAGTATCATCAACATCAGCAGCAGCAGTATCAGTAGCAGTATCAGCAGCAGTATCAGTAGCAATATCAGTAACAGTATCAGCAGCAGCAGCAGCAGAAGGACATTTAACTACTCACAATTCCCAGAAGAACCCTGTTCTCCAGTACGGCCCCAAGGATCCCAAGGAAGGCAATAACTACCATGATGCTGCCTCCCACGATGATGGCGATGGCACCTCCTCTGTAGAATTCTGTGCCCGTGAGGTCTCTCATTTTTTCCGCTCCATATTCTGATGCCAGGCCCCAGGCACCGAGGCCAATAGCGATACCTCCTGCACACTGTAGAAGGAAGAAAGGGAAGGAAACTACAGGCTTCGATAAATAAGAGGTTATAGTTGGCGTCTGGACAATGTAATATAATACAGAAGGTAGTGAGCGTATAGGCACAGTATGAGGAGATGGTTAAATGCAATACACGTATAAGCTCTAGTGTGTGTATGCACACTGTAGAAGGGGAGACAGAGAAGAAAATTTTAAACTTCAACGAATGTGTAAAAAACGTGTAGAATATACTGTTCAACACAACATTCTTACCAACGCTAAGCTATAAGCGTCAAACATGGACACTGTCTTGAGAAGACAGATGCAAAATTGTCGCAACAGAAATGAAATGTTTACGTACTCTACCAGGTGTAACGAGGAGATATCGACTTAGGAATGTTGATATCATGAGTAGAGTCGGCATAGGTAGACAACAGGTCAAATGGTTTGGCTATGTAACAAGATTGGCATCAGACAGACCACCACAGAGAGCAATGTTATACAGATACAGCGGTAATAGAGCCAGAGGTTGACCACGCAAAATGGACCGCACAAATATCAGAGACACTAAAAAGTATTATATGTGAAGCGAACAGAAGGACCCGTCCCAGAGATCTCTTCCTATCCTGAATCTTCGAGGCATTCCAGGAGTAGAGAAAAGAAGAAAGAAGATGGACGTGTGCTCACTGTAGGAGAAGCGATACTAAAAAAAAAAAAAAAAAAGATTGTAGTGGGCGTATGGACACTGTAGGAAGGGATGAGTTAAGCCAAATACATATGTAAGCCCTAGTGCAAGGTTATTGGTGGACCGTGGGCTCAATAAAGCCGGCAAATGAATAGCAAGTGACCCGTGGAGCATTGTTAGTTGTACTGTGTTAATGTCGGCTCTGTGGCTAAGTCGATGCGAAGGCTTCGTAATACCGGGATGCCGGGTGCGATCACAGCTGCAGGCCATGCGCCTTGCGTTGGTTTCGACAGTGGTATCAAGAAAGCAGACCGTCCAGAAAGCAATGGCAAACTACTAGACGTAAATTTGCCTAGAAAAACCACACAACAGCCAGGGGCTGTTGGGGTTGGATCTGCAACGTCCTGTAAAGGATACGCAACTAACCTTTAACTGGGCTTAGATCTTTGACCCGTGACCATCCCCTTGTTCAACATTTTGATCCCTAAGTAAACTCAGTTCAACAGCCCTGAGTACTTTTCTTTCAGTTCACCCTACCTCAGGTTATCCGAGATTTCATGGGGAGTTCCCTGCAAAATCCAGTAGCATAAGGGTGTAAGGGTGTGAAATGAACACCGACTAGCAATAACCCGCCGCCCTAAAAAAATTGGACTTTCCCGGGAACTCCCCATGAAGTCTCGGAGTCCCTAGATGGGGTGAATTAAAAGAAAAGAACACAGTCCTGTCCTAATGGGTTTATGCTCACTATTTCGGTACCACAGCCAGATATGTATGTAGAAGTAATTAGAACAGTGGCGAAACAAATTTTAAACACACAATATCAAAAAGTTAGTCGTCACACTTACCAGAATAAGAACATTGAAGACAACTAGCACCCATTTCATGGCTTGCACACACGCATTCAACGATGATGACATCTTTGTAGCTGAGTGTTAACTGACCACTCAAAGAAAACCTAGATAGAGGCACTCTGAAAAAATAACAACATTGATTTTAATGTAGCAGGTGTTGGATCAAAGTGTACTTACTTCATATTAGGAAACAGTTACAGAATAATGTGCTGCTATATACGTAATCATTTTATATGCTCTAATTGACTGTCACCTCCTATTTACCTCATAATTTTAGAAGTTCTAATCGAATGTCACCCCCTGATTTACGTTATTTTAAGTCAAGAAGCCGACCAGAAAAGAAATGGATGGAGGGAGTAAAGGAGACACTGCAGAAACGCAAAATGTCATTAACACATGCTACAAAACTATGAGATTACCCAAGTCACTTACTAAACAAGCTGAACAGCGCACAAATGCATTTGAATACTAATGATAGAGACGGGTTCTAAGAATATCATAGTTAAAGAAAAGAACAAATGCATCCATACTTTAAGAATTGAATATTAAAAAAGGTTGGCTATTGAAGACGATAAAACAGACAATTGAAATATTTTGGTCACTTGACACGTTACGAAAGTTTACAGAGAACAATAATGGAGAAGTATATGCTTGGGAAGAGGGGAAGAGGAAGGCCAAAGAGAAGATGGGCGCAGGATGTGGCTGATAATCTCCAGATGGGTGTAACGGACGCAGGACATGTTGCTTGTGATTGAGAAGTTTTCCAGAGAGTTGTTATGGAAGCCAAATTCTGCAAAAGACACGCTACTGACTGACTGACACAATTGGGAAAAGACAGGAAACGACACGTAACTCCTATCTGTGACGCTTGATTACATAGTCAGTAGAACAAAGAAAATAAATAAATAAAAACAGAAGGAAAGAAAGAAAGAAAGTAACACTAAACACATAAATATCCCAAGGATACAATATAGCGCTTGACCGACTAGACTGGTCCAAGTTCAACTCCCCGGAAGTCGTAAGAATTCGACGCCGTCTAGGAATAAATGCGTTCCAGATCATTTCTACAATTTCTCGGGAAATGAATACAACGAGGAAGCTTACTGGCCATCTACCTCGTATTTCTTGAAAGCCTAACACTTCACCCCCAAATGGTGATTTCTGCAGTGGATCTACCTTTACGTGTAAACACTGTTTTCTTTCTTAATGAACCAACAAAGGATTTTTGTATTTCAAAGGATAACAATTTGGAAAGAATTGCCCAAGTTACATCCGTTATAATTATACTCATTTAAATTATTATGTGGTGAATGTGAAGTTGTTGATATGATATATTTCAAATAATATAAACTGTACAATCGTCATTATGTAGCAGGTTCATTGCAGAAAGTCAGTCTCATCATGGTCTGCCTTTAGGAAACTCATTCTCTCGCCAGCTCTCCCATAAATGTTAGTAATAGAAGAAATGAGTGAAAATGGTGCTAAATCTGTTGGCTAGATTGTGTGGGAATAAGGTTTCTGTAGAATATCAAGACATTTTTATATGACCAGATACTTCATTGTTTTCTAGCTGCAAGCTGAAACAAAATAGAAGAAGAAGATGAAGATGATGATAAAGGAACAGGAGAAGGAGGAGAGAAAAAGGAGTTGGATGAAGATGATAAAATGAAGGAAAAAGTAAGAGGAAACAAAGGATACAAGAAAAAAAAGTATAAGAAGAAGAAGGAAGAAAAGGAAGTAGAGGGAAGACAAGGAAGTAGAAGAAGAAGAGACACAAGATGATGAAGAAGAGCAGGAGAATGAAGGAGGGGGAGGAGAAAAAGAAGAAAAAGAAAAAAAGGAAACAGAAGAAGAAGAAGAAGAAGAAGAAAAAGAAGAAGAAGAAGAAGAAGAAGAAGAAGAAGAAGAAGAAGAAGAAGAAGAAGAAGAAGAAGAAGAAGAAGAAGAAGAAGAAGAAGAAGAAGAAGAAGAAAAAGAAGAAGAAGAAGAAGAAGAAGAAGAAGAAGAAGAAGAAAGAAAAAGAAGAAGAAGAAGAAGAAGAAAAGAAGAAGAAGAAGAAAAAGAAGAAGAAGAAGAAGAAGAAGAAGAAGAAGAAGAAGAAGAAGAAGAAGAAGAAGAAGAAGAAGAAGAAGAAGAAGCAGAAGAAGAAGAAGAAGAAGAAGAAGAAGAAGAAGAAGAAGAAGAAGAAGAAGAAGAAGAAGAAGAAGAAGAAGAAGAAGAAGAAGAAGAAAAATGAAGAAGTAGAAGAAGAAGAAGAAGAAGAAGAAGAAGAAGAAGAAGAAGAAGAAGAAGAAGAAGAAGAAGAAGAAGAAGAAGAAGAAGAAGAAGAAAGAAAAAGAAAAAAAGAAGAAGAGGAAGAAGAAGAGATAGGAAGAGTCAAAATTATCGAAAACAGAAAAGGACGGACCTAGGGCGTGGTGTAGATACCAAACTTGTAGATTCAGAGAAGGAGTGACAACTTTTTGAAGTAGACGTCGATCTCAATGCGAGAGTAGGCAGATAAAAATAATATGAAGTGCCGAATACTTGCAGAACAAGTTGCTGCACGCCACATCAGCGATACAGCAACAAGCCCTAGTCTTTTGTCGCTCTCGTTCAAGCATGTAGATAGCATCCACGCACGGCTACCCATGGATCACTTTTCATACACCCGTGTCCACCAAATGCTGTCTGAAGATATGGGCGCGGTTCTGTGCTGCTGCGTGTGTTTGTCCGGGTGTGTGCATGATAACACAGGCGGCAACAGACGGGAAGAACACACACGCACGCATTGAGACGTGCACACACACACACACAACTGTAAAACTTTGGCAAACAAACTGCGATAATATTAGTAACGTCTTTTTGTGGAAATGATAATTTTTTTTTTTCTCTTACGATGGCTCACAGGCTCCATTTTGGAGAATGTAGAATAGACTCCCTGCCCCCCCCCCCTCTCCACAGGCATGTCGTTAAAAGCGAAAATTAACGACGTTTTCTTGAAAGTTGAAGTGCATCTGCCCCAGAGGCAGTGCACCAACAATCTGCATATAAATAAAACAGATCCGTAAAACAAATGTGCACATAAAACTCAAGATCTGGAACAAGCCCAGTCCAGAAGTGGACGAACAACCCGAATATTCCCCTAGGACAGTGGTTCCCATCCTTCCTAATGCGGCGACCCTTTAATACAGTTCCTCATGTTGTGGCAACCTTTTTTTTACAGTTCCCTATTTTGTGGCGGCGGCGTCCGTGGCTAAGGCGTTGCGAGTCCGTCTCGTAAGCCAGCATGCCGCGATCGAAACCCACTGCAGGCTGCGTGGATTTTTGTCGTGGTATGGGACGTCGCAGGTCGACCCAGCCTAAAATGGGTACCAGGATGGGCTGTCCTGGGAAAGTAAAGACAGCCGGCGTAATGCTGACCACATTACCCACAGAGTGCTGATGGTCTGTAAAAATATGGGACGCTCTGCCCATATGCCCGATGCGCCGAAAGGCGTGAAAAGGGATCTCTACTTTTACTTTTTACTTATATTGCGGCGACGCCCAACCATACAATTATTTTCGTTGCTACTTCAATCAATGTGTTTTCCGATGATCTTAGGCGACCTTTGCGAAAGGGTCGTTCGACCCACAAAAGGATCGCGACCCACAGGTTGAGAACCGATGCCCTAGGGTTTACAGCCAGTGAAAGCTGACAAAAAAAAAAAAAAAAAAGAAGAAGAAGAAATAGATTCGCATGCGGCACGCAGCCTGTTAGCTTCTGAGGGAGAATTAGTTCAGTTTGACTTTCTGGACTTAACTTTATATACCCCCATAACCTTATAAGTAGTCGCCTTTTACGACTTGTCTAGGTAGTGGGTATTTTAAACCCTCCCCCGCACCCCTCCCATCCCCCGCACCCCTCTCATCCCCAGCAACCCTCCCATCCACGCACCCCTCCCATCCCCCGCACCCATCCAAAATGAGGGCCAGGAACCCACATGAGCAGGTAATTAATCTCAAATACTTAACATGGATATCATTAAGTTTTTAAATCATCTGAGGAGAAAAGTTGGATTTTCTTTCAGCAACTAGACATATTCGTAGAGAGATAAAGGAAAGCAGCCAAAGATGATTCTAGTTGGCCTTCTGTCAATGAATGGAAGGATGTCTGCTCATAAATTGATACATGCTGTTGGACATCTCAAGATATAACATGCTCCCCTATACCACTGGACAAAAAAAAAAAAAGAAAAAAAAGCTTTATGATGATGATGAATTAGTTTATCATTATTTTTTACCATAAATTCTTCATGGAGAAGCAGTTAACGCATTTTTCCTGCGCCCTGAGACCAAACTTCGGTTCTCAAGAGTTGTTTGAGTAATCGCAGGAGATCATGGCTGAAGCTATAAAGACATAGCTAGATGTTGTCGACGGACGTCTCGCCGCTCGCTCTGCGGAGAAAAGGGCAACCAGGATAAAGGCCGGAGAAATTGATTCTCTTGCCTTGAGAGGCAGAAGAAGTGCACTGGGGTTCATAGCAAGAGCAAACAGACATTGTTAGTTCAACAAAGCCCGGCATATGATACCACAACATCTAGTCTGAGAATGGAGGTGGAGGCTGTCACTGCAGCCTTCTACTGTCTTGAGAACCAGCTGCAAACATACGTGTGATTTTAACTGACTCATAGAGCATGTTGAAAAAGGTGGAGACAGGCATGTTTCGTGCAAAGTAGCAAGCATCACTTCAAAGGTCCGGGAAGTGTGTATCCTTTTTTTAAATTTTTTCCTAGGGTATACCGAATTGTTTGTATACGAAAGTGAAGATAGATTGGCTAGTTCTGCAACACTTGGTTAATTAATGCATGACAAGCTAGAAGATATTTTCAGGCCCCTTTGAGAGTGAGTAAACAGTGCATCGGCACAAACAGATCTTCACGGTCTGAAGAGTATGGTGCAGCGAGGCGTGTTGAGAGAGGGATGAGACGGACATACACTCAGACTGTTACTGGTGCCACCTGGCACTGAAACACTGCGATTGTTGCTGAAGATGGAGATGGAGCCCTTATGGGGATGGAACGAGAGTTATGATATTGGTTCTCAA